TGCATTTCCTTTCCTCCTTTATTGAGCGCACAATTCTAGAGTGGAACTTCCCTTCTGACATTGCAATAAAGTTTCCTGCACAAGGAAGAAAAACCTGCCATTTGACCTCCCTTGTGTGAGCAAAGTGTCAATGTTCCTATATTATGCTTGAACATGGTCTTTTTGTCTTCCTATTTGTCGCAGAAATCATGTATGTGTATGTATATATATATATATATATATACCAATATCGCACTTTATGGATTAATCTTGCACGACCTGTGAAAACCACGTATCTCTGGCTTTCCTCACGTTCGATTTTCGAGCAATTTCTGAAGCTAGCTTGGGGAGATTGATTTCGCTCGCACACAATTCGAGGCGCGAGGACGGGCATGTACGAACGCCTACGTAGTCGGGACGGTAAACAAAACTTACACAAATTAAAATCCTGCGCAGATAATAAAAGAAAGAGCAACAAAAAAGTATGGGCGTCTTTCTTTACTAATTTCTTTTTTTTTTTTTTTTTTTCTTTTTTAGGATTGTAAGCGGACGGGCTTCTTAAACGATACCAAAAAGCGAGACACAATTTGACAAACGGGTCACGTCACAAGAAAGAAAATCCCCCATCCTCAAGCGTGTAAAAAATGCACGCAATATCTACAGTACTGGAATTGGAAGCGCTGCCAATATCGCGTGCACTAGCCCAAATCGCGTTGCTCCCGCTCACGTCAAAGCGACACAGACCTCGTCGGAAAGGTACGCTTTCTGACGCGGTCAACCGGTAAAAACGCTATATATTGTAAAATTCTGTACTTTGGACGTGATTAATTCAGACTGCTTTGCGGCTAACTAAGCGCGCGTTCCTTCCCAATGAAACGAAAGAGCGAGATTCGAAATAGAGGAAATAATTCCCGTGAAAAGAAAGAAATTCGTCTCTTATTGAGCTTGGCAGTAAAGCACGCGACATCTCCAGTATTCCGTTTGAAAGCGTTGTCCATGGCAAGTGCAGTAGTGTACAGTGTTCGGCTCTCGCCCAGTTGAAAGCGCCAGAAAGCCCGTGTCGCAAAGCGACACGGGTAACCGCTAGAAAACACGCACATTTTAAAGTCGCGTGATTTGCACTTGATTCCTCGGAAGTACTTTGTGGGAGACGAAGCGGGCGTTCCATGCCAAGGACACGGAAGAGAGAGATTAGAAATAGAGCGAACAATTCGCGTGAAAAGAATAATATTTGTCTCCTATCAAACTTGCCAGAAAAGTAAGCGAGATTTCCAGTATTCCGTTTGAAAGCGCTGCCCGTCGCAAGTGCAGTAGGGTAAATTGTTCGGCTCTCGCCCAGTTGAAAGCGCCAGAAAGCCCGTGTCGCAAAGCGACACGGGTAACCGCTAGAAAACACGCACATTTTAAAGTCGCGTGATTTGCACTTGATTCCTCGGAAGTACTTTGTGGGAGACGAAGCGGGCGTTCCATGCCAAGGACACGGAAGAGAGAGATTAGAAATAGAGCGAACAATTCGCGTGAAAAGAATAATATTTGTCTCCTATCAAACTTGCCATAAAAGTAAGCGAGATTTCCAGTATTCCGTTTGAAAGCGCTGCCCGTCGCAAGTGCAGTAGGGTAAATTGTTCGGCTCTCGCCCAGTTGAAAGCGCCAGAAAGCCCGTGTCGCAAAGCGACACGGGTAACCGCTAGAAAACACGCACATTTTAAAGTCGCGTGATTTGCACTTGATTCCTCGGAAGTACTTTGTGGGAGACTAAGCGGGCGTTCCATGCCAAGGACACGGAAGAGAGAGATTAGAAATAGAGCGAACAATTCGCGTGAAAATAATAATATTTGTCTCCTATCAAACTTGCCAGAAAAGTAAGCGAGATTTCCAGTATTCCGTTTTAAAGCGCTGCCCGTCGCAAGTGCAGTAGGGTAAATTGTTCGGCTCTCGCCCAGTCGAAAGCGCCAGAAAGCCCGTGTCGCAAAGCGACACCCCAAGTAGCACAAAATGTCGCTACAACGTTACTGGAATGTTGTCAGGTAACGTTGCCGAACGCTGCTAACGACCGCGGATTCTACACTCCAGTAACGTTACACCACAATGTTACAGTAACGTAACTGCATACGTTACCTGGACATTACCCAAACAATGTTACTGGAACGTTGTTAGATAACGTTGCCAAACGTTGCTAATGGCCACCAGTTCTACCTTCCAGTAACGTCACATCAAAATGTTGCAGTAACATAGCTCTCTATGTTACCTGGATGCTAGATCAGTGATGTTACTTGGACGTCGTCGCTAACGTTGCTAGTTGTTGTTAATGGCCACGAATTCTACCATCCAGTAATGTTACACCAAAATGTTGCACTGACATTACGGCTTACTTAAGAGTGAAGGAATAAAAATGTGAAGAACATACACAAACGACCACTCTTTCATTTCGCAACAACGTTTATTTTTTGAGGAGCAAAGAGTCGCATACAGGTCGAGATCAACTAGATACCGAAGGCGGAGTGTTACTGACTCATCCCTTATCTCCCTAAAGTTCCTTTGATCAAGCCTTCCTTTTGCAGTTAATCTTGACCTGTGCGCGAGTCTTTGCTTCCAAAAAACGAGCGTTGTAACTAAATGAAAGAGCGGTCATCTGTTTTTCCTCAGTGCTTTTATTCTGTTCACTTTCAGTAAACATTTTTACAATATGCTGGCACTGGCCAGATATTACTGCATGTGTTACTTGGACATTACTGAACAATGTTATCCGAAAATACATTGACAAGCGCTGCCAGGAAACTGCATTTATGGTTGTCATGAAGTCATTTTTTGAGCTGGTGCCTGATATGAGTAAATGGATGTGCATTACAGGCCATTAATGAATCAGCATTTTGAAATCCTAGAAGCAGGACTCCAGAAGAAAACAAGAAGTTATTGGAATAAATTTATTTCAAAAACGAAACCAACATTACAAGTACCAGAGAATTCTTCTGTTTCTTACAAGCTATTAGATCTACAAAATTGTAAAGAACACACTAAATTACAAGGCTGATCTGCATAAAAATAAAAATGTAAAATATTAAAACTCCCAGCAACATAAAGCAAGTAGCTTAAAATAAAATTCTAAATATATCTCAAATTACACCCGATCTTGGGCTAGGACATATAAATAAATAACGGAGGCAATAAACCAAAAATGACTAGAAAAAGAACATAAATTTTAAATCTTCTAAAAATACCACACTAATGTGTACATAAATTAAATAAAAGAAACCACTAGCTGGGGCTAAAATGTATGCATGAATAGAAATTAAAGGTAACATATGCATATTACAAATTGACACAAAAAATTCAAACTACAGGGACTCTACTCATGGGATGGCTGTAAAAAAAAGAGAAAGAAATCATTAGAAAAAAAAAGCATTTTAAATGATTTAGGTAGCATAAATTTTTTTTTTTTTCAATTCTGTGCATTTAGCACGGTTAACCAATTCCATGCTTCCAACTGGGATCAAAGTAACCAACTACTAACATTTAAAACTAACAGAAAAATCAAGGCAGAAACATGCTGAAAAACAGCGCAAAATGCATGGATAAGAAAACACACAGGACAAGGCACTGTGTGTTCTTTTTCCTTTGGTTTTCGCACCGTTTTTCAACATGAATTCTTAGCCCAGCCCAACTGTCCATCCTTGTAATCAGAAACATGCTTGCCTTCTCCCCTTGTGGCAGCCCCTCAGTCATTCCTGAGAAGAGGCACACTGCTCCTGCAAAAAAAATAACACAAAAAAGTTGGTTGCATTCAGAAAATGGGTGCCTATTTCAGGGCAGAGAGTGTCATCAAGATAAAAAAGAAATGCCTACATCTGTCCTAGCAGTTTCACCACAGTTTCTTTGCATGCACAAGCCATTCTTTTCATCCAGTTTAGACTTTTACCGCAAAGTGTGACCTACCCACAGAAGACAGTGGATACGAGACTTATTCTTTTCTGGCAAGGTAGGCGGCTGTTCTCGGACACTCACTTTTTCCCACTTCAACCTTCTATTTATTCATGCGTGAAAGGCACTTTCTTAAGAGGGAAACAGCTATTTTCCGCAGCGCCTTTTTTATTTTGTATTTGTAGATTTAACTTTGTTTTCATTTTATCCTAAGAGAATAGCTTTCTTTTTAAGAACATAGATGTTCTTAAAAAAGACGTGCCTGGCCTCTTCGTCAATTTTTTGTAACCGACAGAACCGTGGACCTGTCGGATCTTTGACATGCATTATATTACTGTATGTCGAATATCCGGCAGGTCCACGGTTCTGTCGGTTATAATAAATTAACAAAGAGAGGAGACACGTCTTTTCTTTTCCCCGTATCATGGGCCACGGAGACAGATCACTGCCTCAAGGACGGCTTCGTCTTGAAGCAGAATAGGTCTCTTCAAGGACGAAGATATATATACGCTTCTGAATGGACGTGCATTCATCACTGCACCTGATGATCACAGCTTTTAAAAGTGTCGTTAGTGTTACCGTGTCTTATTGGCCTCATTAACGGAAGTCATCATTTACTAAAAAAAAAAAAAGAATAGAAGGTGACAAAAAAGGTTCCTTCCTTTTATATATATATAAGTTTATAAGTTACAATAAATATTAAAACACTGCTATCCTCCCGGCACTAAAAAGAAAAATATTTCTACTGCTCAAATAGGCTACGTTCAATGAAACAACTTCGATGAAATGGCGTTCAATGAAACAGCGTTCGATAAAACTGCGTTCAATGAAACAGCTTCGATGAAACAATGTTCAATGAAACGGCGTTTGATGAACTGTCCGGACCCAAAGGCAATGTCAATGAGCCTCATATTTTCTACAATGTCAAGCTCATTGCAGACAATGTCATAACATGGTGTTCTTTCATTGGCTAAATAAATTTCTTAATACTTAAAAATGTCTTTATGTAAAGTAGACTAATGCCTTTGTTTGAAATCTGGGCTTGTTTTAGGATGCAAAAGTATTTTTTGGGAGTTTAAGCAAAATTAGAAATATCATATTACCATTTTCTTGATCCTAGCTGGTGCATGCCTGACCGATTCAGCAGCAGCCCATTTGGCGTCGGCTTCCTGCACGATGATGGCTGGCTCATTGTTTTCTGCCTTCTGTTTAAAGCAGGTGCGCACAGCTCCTGTTTCAAAAGTATATAATTACAACACAACGTCAGCTACCACAGTGAAATATCGACAATTTCATGCCCTACTTCAGCATAACTTGGCAGACATCGGTAACTATGAAATCAGCCAGGGTGTCTAGCAAATTCCTCCTTTTAAGTTCCCCAGCTTTTCCAGGTTTTAAATTCCCTGTCCATTACAGAAGTTTGGAGATGTGGTACGAACTGCTACTAAACACCTCATAAGTGAACACCACTCACAATTTAAAACAATTTATAGAAATCGGTCTTTATGTTGCTCAAGAAGTCAAAGACTTACAAAGTTTCGGGCAATGTTATTTAGAACAGCCACGTCAATGCACGACTCTCCTGGCTTCGTCGCACACCACCGCATTACTCGCCCTGGCCATTTTCCCTGATTTGGCTAACTTTTTGATTATCTCCCTGACAATTCCCTGACTTTTCCAGATGATCCGAAATTTCCTGACAATTCCAGCTTTTCCAAGGTGCTAGACACCCTGTCAATGAGCCAGATAGCTCGGGAGCGAGGCATGGGACAAAACTCCACTGTAGTGAGCTTATGTGGGCTGCTGTCACATGCTTCACCAGGACACAGTTTCCTTTCATCTAAAAGAGCCAAATCCAGAAAACTGAAACCAAGCAAATTTTTGTATGAATTCAAACTACATTCGTTGGCCCATCGATCTCAAATGCTACTACAGTGAAATCGGTCAGAGTACGCTATAAAAACCACAGCAGAGGTGGCCGCGGCACATGGCTCAAAGCTATACTGATAAGCAAACATACCAATTTATCTGTTTTGCTTCATGTGGATTTCGCCTTTTTAGAAAAAAAAAAGCTCCTCACTTGTGTGCCCTGTTTAGCTATAGCCATTTGTTGTTAAAAGGCAACTCTGCTTAATTCCAAAACTTTTGGAATTATAAGACTTCAAATAAAAATAAAAAATAAATTTAAAAAGAAATATAAAAATAACTATTTTATTTCATGCATTGGTGAAATATTTCGTATGCAATTTTGCTTTAAACATAGCCCAAATAAAACCCGAAACATCGGCTTCTACAGGCAACGATGGCAGAGACGGAGGAGACATGACCAATCCCATGGTACAAATGATGATGTGCTACCCCTGCGAGGACGACGCAAACAGACGGGCCTGAGTGTTGTCTGCTCCGTGTCGGACGACATCTGCACCACTGCAACCTACGCTAAAGCCAAGTTTTCTCAAAGGAATAAATATCTCAGGAACATTAGTATGCAGCGAGGTCTACTAAATAGTACATAAATAAGCCATTGAGTATGTGAACATTGTGCAAACAATGCCATTATTATTTAACAGAGGTGAACCATGAGAAACGTGCACATCCAGGTCTGTGCCAATCATGTGGACACCGCTGAACCAACTTTTGGAGAAGACATTGCTCAAGTCAAGGACTGACTGTGCATGGAAAAAACAAAGAAAACGTAACAATGCACCTGACATAGTAAATTGATGTTCGGTGCACTGAAGCCGTAGTAGCAACTGCGCTGTCGTTTGCGCCTACATTGTCAGCTAGGATTAGCAGTTTGCTGATCCATTTCATAAAGATTTAAATGGAGATAATATTGGACATGTGGTTTTCCTAGATGATACTGAAGAAGCCTTTGTTTTCTCTCACTAACAAAAATGAGACAGAGTCTGCAAAATGGCGGGCCCTTGCGCGCTGCCATCTTCCAGCTCGGGTGCACCCCATATAATCTGATTATGAAGGCTTGCTAAAGCGTCACTAAGCTAATTGACAGATTGGTACCCTGAGAACACGTTTCCCTACCCATGGTGCCTAGACTACTTTTGGAAACATGACTGCTTGCAAACGTGTATAGGTGATTGTGTCATTCAGCTATATGGTAATGTACCTTACACCAAAGAGTGCTCGGTGGTGTAAAACAAAGTGTACCACCTTTCTTCAAGAAGTGGTCAATCCTAACGCTGCCCAAACCATTCCACATATAAAGCAGAGGACAGGTTCATAAAAAGTGCTAGGGTTAGAGTGCACAAACAGCAAGCATTCTAATGTATCCTTTGACCAGAAAGCATAGATAAATAAACAAAATGAATTAAATTGTAAAATAAAAATGACTAGTACAGCAGAATTATGCAAACATGAGGTTGCAGCAATACAAAGCAAACATACGCACCGTCAAATTAAAAATATCCACTTCACCATCCCTTAGGCTATAACTGTCCTTGTGCGAGGAAGCATACCACAACTAGCAGCTTTGTAAATTAAAAATGACTAGATAAAAAAAATGAAAGCCGTTTACAACTCCCTGTAACGCTAAATTAGAGTGCAGCTCTAGAGGAGGAGGGAAGGGTCCCGAGGAAAGGGTATACCCCTCTTCCCTGCCACACCTCCCTCTGAGCGGCGTCGCCTTAACCGTGAGGTCACGTGACCCTCCTGACGGGGGTCACGTGACCCCGCAAGGACAATTTGGCATGGTGCCGAAACGTCACCTTGCCGAAACGTCGCCGCGGTTACGGCGACACCACTCAAGCCGGAAACGGGCGCCTAAGAGCTGCGCTCTAAAAGAAACACCAAAACAGCAGGTGCTCAATAAACAATATGGATACCATTCATTATCACAATTGCGGCTAACCAAGCTGAGGCTAATCACATAAAATAAAAAATCTAAATGCTGGAAAGCGTTAAGAAATTGCAGCAACAAAAAGCAAACATACACGTGTGCGTTTTTGCTTGGGCTCTGGTGCACGTTCTGGAAGTTGAGGGGCTGGCTGAGTGTTACGTCGTTCCTGCAGAAGAGGCAAGCTTGATGAAAAAGGAGGGCAAATGAATCCCGAATACAAAGGTGTTGCAGAAATTTAGGTGCATACATCTTGGTCATAGAAGTCCTCATCCTCAAATGAAGAAAGAGTATACTGCAGTCTCTTCCTTTTTCTCTTCTCCCGCTCTTCATTATTCAATGTTAGGTTGGACGTCGCTTCCGAATTTTTTTTCTTTGTACTTTGCATCTTCATATGTCACTGAAACAAGAAAGCCGAGCACACCAGTTAAATGTTTAACCACCACAAGCTTGTTTTCACCCTAAACTTTTGTTCATTAAATCAAATATGCTCGCTTTATGGTTAGACAGCTTTAAGGTTAAAGCCTGCCAACTTTTTCGGGCTCATGTATATAATCTATGAGGATTGGGCCAGCTCAGGTTTATATTAAAGAAAACAAAAATTCTGTCGGGCTCGTGCTGGGCTCAAGCTTCTGTCTAAAATTCTGTCGGGTCCGGGCCCGGCCCGAGCCGTGTCTCTTCAAGGCGAAGTCTGGCCGGGCCCGGAAATTAAATATTCTATTAGGCTCGGGCCAAACCCGGGCCGTGCCTCTACCGGGCCGGGTCTAGAAATTCTGGCTCGTGCAGTGCTCTAGCACACTCTACATTGGGTGAGCAGAGTCCGCGCTCCGCTCTAAGCAGAATTTATTGCCTATTTCTCTGCCCCAAGGTTCTCAACTCTTTGCTCAGGGCACTCAATGGCATTTCCGGCTCATTTTCCATGACTGGGCTTGATTTTTGACAATATCCCTGATTTTTCCCGGTTGCTAGACACCCTGCTATACTTACAACATGATGCCATCACCTGACAGGAGAATGTGGCCCAGTCAGTCGAGGGCTCTTCACGCTCTCTAATTGCCATCATCAACCGATTTAATTTGTAGGGTGGCCATGCCGTGCAGCCATTGCACACCCAACAGGTAGGGACAACTGCGACATCATTTTCCGCCAAAAAATGGACAAGAGAGTACATTTCCTGAAATCAACAAATAAAGCCGTTATTACCTTAAAGACCAGTCATAAGTCACTAAAATACAGTTTTCGAATTAAGCACAACCAATGTACAATAGTTGCAAACATAGATCACACTTGCAAGTGAAGTAGATAAAAACAGCATAGTCCTGGTTATCGAAAAAATAGTCACAGTGCAGGCGAGCTGGTGTAAGTTGAACATGATTGTAAACCTGAGACTGGGGCAGAAAAGAGAACACAGCAGAAGGTAGAAAAAGGGGAGGCAACGTCTCAAACTCAGCTGCAAAGTTTATTTCGTACACGCCTTATATACCACAACTCCAAAGCCGACTGGCGGTGGTTATGCTAGAATGTGACCCTTTGTGTGAGTGTTTCGCAGGAGAGGTCAAGGGAGATAAGAGAAGGTTTACCCAAATTTCATTGTCCCCTTGTCATATATTTTTTTTTTGTAGAGACAGCGTTGGAGTTGTGGTATATAAGGCGTGTACGAAATAAACTTTGCAGCTGAGTTTGAGACATTGCCTCCTCTTTTTCTACCTTCTGCTGTGTTCTCCTTTCTGCCCCAGTCTCAGGTTTACAATCATGTCCCTGGTTATATTGCAAGCAGACGCACTTCCACCTGATGTCCTGCACACTCCCCACTGAGTACTGCATGGAGAGCCCTGTAGCTCTAAAAATTCCTAGCTCTGATGATGGCAGCTTTGAAGTATAAAGGTTGCCGAGATTTCGGAAAAACTGTCCGCAGATGCTACGGTTCCCATCTGACTCAATGAAGTTCCTAACAACAGCAATGTTGCCATACTTCAGTTGAACACAGTTGTCGGACGCCTTCAGAGAGAAATGTGCTCCGTCTAAAACAAGCTCACTGCACTGGGTTTTCTTGAAGCTTGGCGGCTCAGGTTGTTGCTTGAGCAGAGCACACTTCTGTTGCACAGAACTTGACACGGTGGTGGGATTCACTTCTGAGTGCCTCTTGATAACGTGCTGCAGTGCCAAGGAAGGACCCCTCACCAACTTCTTGAGCTTCCCAAGGAAGTTCTCAAAGGGAAAGACCGAGAAGGTGTTGACAGGGCCGAACCGTCGAACGTCTTGTCAGGTGGATCAGGGAGTGCATGTTGTAGACATAAACCCCCTCATACAAGGTACCAGCTTCAGAAACAAACTCTCAAGAGAGATTCTGCAAGATCACAGTGTGTCAAAGAAAATTTGGGGCTGGCTAGGATGGTCATAACACAGCTCAGCTTTATGAACTGTCCATAAAAGCGCTTTTCCAAATGGTTTCTAAGGACCACTGGCCCGGGGGAACTGATAAGGAGATAAAGGAAAGGGGGTTTTGAAGGCCGGGGATTTTGAAGAGGGGGAGGTAACACGGGGAATTCGCAGCGGGGATTTTGACACAGGTGTTCTGAGATTAGGTTATTTCGTGCACCACTCGTATCACTCCACTCAGATTCACACTCGGTATTCAAACTCTCCGGAAAAACTTGCATGTGCTGCCACGGCCTGTTGTCCAGGTGAAAGAGGGTATGCTTCCTCAGTGTCCACCGACTCCTCACTGCTCGTACCGCAACTTTCAAGTTCCTTGCGAACACTTTCGGCTACTCTACGTCTTTTTTGGCGATCGGATAGCTCTGATAGCGAACGCTTCGCCCGCTCCATTGTTCAGCACAAGTAGTAACAACGAAAATGAAACATACCTTTGTTTACGTTTCCTCCACGCCGAGAGATTGGCAGAGCGGTCCGATGAAACAGACCTTGACGGTCCGTTGACATACGGTCACGTGGTCAACCTGGCTTCGACCTTGCTTGGCTTGAGCTACTTGCACTCTTGGCGTCTTGGCTTGTCAACAGTGTGCGTAAACGAGTAAACGACTAAACATAAAGTTTCAAGTAGGAATAAACTGTGTAAATTTATATGACAGTACTAAAATAAGGTTTTTTTAAGAGTTATACAACATTACATCGATTGGAGAAATTGGAAATTGGTATAAGCCATACAGCCATAACCGTAATGCCGTACTAGTCTGCAATCATGGCGGACGATGGCGATCTTGCAACGTCTTGCAGTGATCAGTGGATGACCTCGACCGTAATATCGGTAACGATAGTGAACTGTTAACATCGAAACGGTAGTACCGTAGCTATGCGACTGCGCTGTGCCATTGTGATGTGTCCAGATAACAAATGTAGGCAAAGAGTGGTCCACGCAGAGCGAGCTTCGAAGCCTCAAGCTCAAATATGTTCTCGTGTCGACGGCTCTTTGGCGAGAAGTGAACGGGGGCTAACAATGTGTGTGCGATTATACTCGTTTCATTATAATTAGGGTCCATATTAGATGAGCGAATTACGTTTTAGCAAACAGCGGCATTTGAGCGAATCGACGTTTTAGCGAATAACGGGGGCGCGCGTTAACCCATCCGCCGCGCGGCGAGTCTGCGGCGGCTCATTACAAAAATGTGAACCCACTTGGCCCACCCGAAAACGCCGCTTCGCATCGTCCGAATTTTCGCTAAAGTGTCATTCGGTGAAACGTGGACATTCGCTAACACGTCACTCGATAAAGTGAGTGCCTCCCCCCTTGGGGCCCTTCATTTTGAGTGGTCGGCGGAGTGCATCCTTGTATCCGTGGCCCTTGATGCTAGATCTCCTTTCTACCTGCCCCTCCCCCCCCCCTCTCACTCACTTTTCTTTAATCTCACCCCATTCCCGTCCCATCTCTCCTATGTTGCCCTTTCTAACCTTTCACTCCTCATTTCCTCGCATGATTTAATGTTTGTGCCCCCCCCTTCCCCACCTTCATAGGATTATATGTTCGTTGCCTTTGACCTTTGATCTCGACTTCGGACCCTTGACTGCTCCTCCTCGCCATCTCCCCTTCTATCTCCTCGGTCTCCTTATTCCTCCCTCCCCTCTTCCTCTACTCTCTTGTCCACCTTCCTCTTCCCGCTACCCATCCTACTCATCTTTCCTCCCCTCTTCCCCCTTCTCTCTCGTTGGAGTGATTCTATGTTCATGGCCTTTGACCTTTTCTTTTTGGTGGCAGCTGCATATGGCTCTTCATTTTGAGTGGTCAGGGAGGTGTGATCTTGTGTCCATGCAACCGAGGCCTATGACCTGCGATGTTTTACGTCTTACCTGGCCCCACCCCGTCCCATCTCCTCATTCCCCTCCACTCCTTCTCCCCCATTGGTCTCATATTCCCTCTGTGTGCTCTTCCTCCCCTCTTTCCTCTCTCCTCCGTCTGATCTTGCTCCTCCCTGCCCCACTTCTCTTCATCTTTCTCTTCATGCTCCCTCAGCCTCTCATCCTCATTCCCCTTTTCCTTTTGTCTCCTCTCTTCCTTGTGTGAGCGTGTGTTTTTGGCCTTCGACCTTCATACTTGACCTCTTTCTTCCTGCCTCTATTCTCCTTCCCATCTCATCGCTCACCTTCCCCCTCAACCGTCTCCCTTTTCCCCTCCTCTCTCTATGAGACAATGGCTACCGCCAGTCGTCTCACTTGCAGTGTGCTGCAATGAGCCGCCACTTTTTGAGTTTTCCGAATAGAGTGCTGAGCTGTAAATTGGACTGAAATATGAGCTTCTGCATTTCAAATTTTCAACCAGGGTGTATCTTATACTGCACGCTCCAAGATTTCTCTAAATCTCTATGGCAAGCACTGGCGCAGACAACCGAGACAGGGCGAGAGTAAGAACCACCCAGTCGCTCGATTTGACCTGAGTCCGTCGTGAAATTAGTCCTCGCTTCTATTTTAAATAGTAGAAATCATTTTGCAGCAAGCTCTGGTCGGATAGAGCAGTCGGTCGACCCCAAGAGCTCTCTGCGACCTGGCCGTAGGGTAATCATGTTCGTATTTTTCACAGAAACAGAGCTACGCTTCGAAAATAACGCAATAGAGCACACAACTAAAATACACTTTTGGTGATAATTTCAGCTAGCTACGTGTTCCAAATTAATTTACAGGCTACGACTCTCATGCCATCCTATACATGTTCGGGAGGTCTTTGGGTCGTCGCGTCACCAGCGTGAGTTTTCAGCCTTTGATAACACAATAACACCCCATGACTTCACCCTCTTGTTATCTTTAGCATGCATTCCAAAAGCTGGACATTCGAATGACCTTAACCTAAAAGCTATGATGAGGGTGCATGCTAGCTCGTGAATGTTGAGCAGACTCGCCAACCCTTTAAGGGGCAGGAAGGAAGCAAGGAAATGCCATACACACAAATGAATTCAATTTTATCATAAACCTTTTGGACAGATATTTTTTTAATTTTCTGCAATCTTTCCAGGGTACATTTTGAACATTTGTTTCAAACACGCCCATCACAAGCATTAGAGCGGTCTTTCTGTTTGTAAAAAAATAAAAATGTTTGAACAAGAGAATCAACATTGAACTATTATAAGTTTGGTATCTTTGTGTATCCTTGACCAGCCTCTGTGTGATGTGGTGATGCGTCACATTTCGTCACATTAGGCCAACATCGCTGCATAACATTGCCCGTATGTCAGGATGGAAATGTTACCAAGAGGTTATTTCTAAACGTTGCTCCAATGTTGCTTCTCTAACATTCCTGGAACGTTTGCCTATGTGATGTAACGTTACATGACGTTCAGTGACAGTCAAACAATGTTACAGGAGAACGTTTCTGTTACGTTAGTTTTCAAACATTGCTATAACATACCCAAATGTGCCCCAACGTTACATTACATTTGTGACATTCCAGTCACGTTATGGCAACATATGGTGCTACTAGGGACGGGTAACCGCTAGAAAACACGCATCTTTTTCTTTTGTTAATCCCGTGCTTCTCACTTCGTTCCTTGAGAGGACTTTGTCGGAAACTAAGTGGCGGGGCCTTCCAAACGAAACCAATGGTAGAAACAATGAAGTGAGCAAAGAAGAGTAGTGTAAAGAAAGAAAATTGCCTATTATGAAGCCTGCCGTAAACACGCGCGATACCGCGAGCATTCGGATTAAAAGCAGTGACAATCTCACTTACTATAGCGCTCATTGTTCGGCTCTGACACAATTCAAAACGCATGAAACGCCCCGTGTAAATATTGGTTTACTTTGTAATAACAAAGTCGATAAACTTTCTGTTGACCATGTTAACATGAACTGAAAGTCGAAAAGAAGTAATCAGAGTCAAGCAGGGGTCAGTACGTTTTTAATAAAAAGCGAGAAATAATTTTTTTATAGGGGTAGGATGTATGTACGTATGTATGTATATATATAGAGGCAGACAGGAAAAAAAGAACATTTATATATATATATATATACACACAAACATACATACATACATATATATATATATATAAGGAGAGAGAGAGGGGAAAAAAAATAAGAAAGAAAGAAGGACAAATAAATGATACTGAATAACGAGGAGCCACATAAGTGAGAGACAGTAAGTCAGTAAGTCAGTCAGTCAGTCAGTCACCGAAACTGATAACCACAAACTATGTACAGAATGCTCTTGAAGGATCTTCTTTATACTTATCGGTGCTATTACATGGAGGTGGGGTCTGTCGAGCGTTCGATTGGTGCGAGCGTCGTCTGACGACGTCGCCGACGCCTTTCGTCGCCGTCTCGGCCGCTGCCTCCGCCGCATGGTCGTTACAGCAAGGTACCTGCGATCTCTGGCGTCTGCCGTTGGGGTCGGTTCTCGGGTGCACCTGTGTCTTGAAAACGAATGCGAGAGGAGGGTGTTTCGGAGCGTCCGCGCTAACCGAACGGTGTGAAATGACGAGTGCGTTCTGACCGAAGGCCGGGGTGCGTCCTCGCGTCCTCACGGGACCTGAAAGCTCGGCAACGCTGCGAAGGCGTCGTCAATGATTTTTTTGGCGTACGACTTTCTGTTGCTACGACGAGAAAGAAATTTATGCGCTTCTTGCCGCGTCGGTACCGACCTCGGTCGGGGATATTCCGGCTGCGCGCTCGAACGTGCTTCATTTCTTCTTGGATTTGGAAGTAATTCCTAAGCGTTGTGTGTGTTTGCGGTTCGTAAGGGGCGCCTGACGGTGGCCCCGCGTCCGCGCGTTGGTAGGGTTTTGGGCGACCCACCACGAAAAGATTACCTGGTTGATCCTGCCAGTAGTCATATGCTTGTCTCAAAGATTAAGCCATGCATGTCTAAGTACATGCCGAAACAAGGCGAAACCGCGAATGGCTCATTAAATCAGTTATGGTTCCTTAGATCGTTTCTTCCTACTTGGATAACTGTGGCAATTCTAGAGCTAATACATGCAGTGAGCCCGAAGCCCCTCAAGGCGACGGGTGCTTTTATTAGACCAAGATCAATCGGGCTTCGGTCCGTTTTGTGTGGTGACTCTGGATAACTTTGTGCTGATCGCACGGCCACGAGCCGGCGACGTTTCTTTCAAGTGTCTGCCTTATCAACTGTCGATGGTAGGTTATGCGCCTACCATGGTTGTTACGGGTAACGGAGAATCAGGGTTCGATTCCGGAGAGGGAGCCTGAGAAACGGCTACCACATCCAAGGAAGGCAGCAGGCGCGCAAATTACCCACTCCCGGCACGGGGAGGTAGTGACGAAAAATAACAATACGGGACTCTTTTGAGGCCCCGTAATTGAAATGAGTACACTCTAAATCCTTTAACGAGGATCCATTGGAGGGCAAGTCTGGTGCCAGCAGCCGCGGTAATTCCAGCTCCAATAGCGTATACTAAAGTTGCTGCGGTTAAAAAGCTCGTAGTTGGATCTCAGTTACAGGCGGGAAGTGCGTGGACACCACGTTACGGCCCGTGCTGAACATCATGCCTGTCGTGGCTTGGTTCCCTTCATCAGGTGCCTTGCTTTGGCCGGCGCGTTTACTTTGAAAAAATTAGAGTGCTCAACGCAG